AATGCAAACATACATTTAAAGTCAAGGAGGGTAAAAGTATCTTGAAAAAAGTTTGTATTGAAGAGATGGAGAGTTCAGGCTTTCTATGTAGACAGCCCAAAAGTACAGAATTTTCTGCATGAAATTGTCCTTTTTTGTCTGTGTGTAAAACTCAGCTCTTACCCTTAATTTTCCTTCAGTAATGACAACGGAATTTGAAAAAGAAATATGTAATTTTACATATTTACAAAAATAGAAGGGGCTAAAAAAATACTGTATTTCGATCTGCTTAATTTCATCAAACAGCATTCAAAAAAAAACTAGTGATGAATATATGTTATAAATAGCTAGGTTAGTTAGATTAGACATTCAGAGAAATAAGATGTTGTACAAGAGATGATATCCTAGAGTAGAAAGATAAATCTGATCACTAGGGATCAGTACTTTTTCTGCTGAAATCTAGCAATAACCCCAGTGTTAGCAGAAGGAGAAAGACAAAGAGGTTCCTTGCTATGGACTGCCAGAAGGAATTATGTGTATCAAGTCTGTGAAAGGCTGCAATGAGCATCCTTAGAAAAATCAGACTCTTGAATGAGGGTTCCTACTTTGACACATCTGGATATTTGCTGATAAATTTCCATTTTTTTTCAATGGCAATAATAAAAATCAAAAATCCAAATAATGAAAGAATCCAAAGTTATTAATTTACACTAGTGTGCAGTGGTACATCAGTTTATAATTTCTTTCAAAACCAAGAGATTCCAAACTATTTGTTCTTTCCCTACTAAGGCCCCACACCATTTGCCTTTCCTGAACCAATTCTCTGACAGTAACTGCAGAAAAGGTTTTTGCCCTGACCTTTATATCCTTCCCAAATGTGGTCACCTGCACACACCAGTTCTGCATCCCACCTTAGGCCATGAACCTTTTCTTGTGCCCCCAGCTGCAACTTCTGCAGACTTTGAGGATTTTGACATGTTACCATCTCATACTCCTCTTTTCCTTCCACTAGGTACCTCTCGAGACCTCTCTGCTGCATGAGGCAGCCTTGCAACAAGGGAGACGCATAGGTGGGGGCAAGATGCACCAGAGAAGGTCTCTTGTGATGGATATTGCATAAATGACCAGAAATCAGTGCCATTCCTCCATGTTCAGGTGCTTTACCTGAGGCTGCCCCTGTGAAAGCACAGCAGACCTGTCTGTCTATTTCACAGAATTTATTCCTGTAAGGTACTTGCCCACTGGCAAAAAAGTGACTGTCTTAAAAGCTTTGTCTTCTAGTGGACATCACCTGGATAAATAGCAACAACATAAGGTCCTTGAATATGTCCTGCAGAGCATTCACTGGGACTGGAGAAAAAGTGGAGGGTGGTGCTGCAACTGGGAGTGGTGAGAAGACTGGCTCTTGGTGTCACTGAATATCAGATCTTTTGCATGCAGCTTATGTGAGCAGAGTCCCTGCTCTTCTGATTGTGCTTTCCTGTAACAACTGGGGCAGCAAAAAGGGAAGACAAGCACACAGCCTGGAGGCCGGTAAGTTTCAAGTCAGAGGCCGAAGGAGTGGGGACACAAGGTAGGCTGAAGAAATGCAAAAGTATTGTGCATGATATAACTTATGGCAGAAATGCCCTGTGGTTGTGGCATATGAGTCAGAAAATGAATTTTGGCATGGGTCAACAAGTCTTCTGCAGGAGCCAATTCCTACTTGCAGGGAAACATCACAGACAAATCTCAGGTCAGTTTCTCTTGGAGGGGAAATCCAAACGTGGAAAAATCATTACGTTTTATTAATGTGTAGTTTTTGTCTTCCCATTGCATCTTTCAAGTGTGATTCCTCTGAATCACACATGAAAGATGATAAGAAAGGCACCTCCCTGAACAGAGCTGCCCATTCTCATTTTGTTTAGCTGAAGGGTCTTGGATGCTCTAAGCTTCTTTTGCACTCTTCATTGTCAAGGTGTTGAAACATCTACAATACATTTCAAATGGCAAATGTCACCCACTCACCATCGGTTTTTATTTTCTGCTTGGCCTGTGCAGACACAAGCACAGGCAGAAACTTTGGTTATTGTTTCTGTGTTTCTCTTCTCTCAAGACTTTCACTGCTCAGAATTGCATCAGAAGGCTATTTTTCATATGCAAATCTCAAAGTATTCTATCACCTCTTTAGTTCATATTTTTTTTGTCCATCTTGATGTGAGTTGAGTGTAGAGAAATGTTTGGGGTTATTTATTTCAAATTAGAAATATGTGTCTTGAGGAGAGTTGGTGTGAACACTATTAAAAACAAACAAACAAACCAAAAATGAAAAAAAAAAGTTATTTTATGATGTAACAAGAAGTACAAACTCTGGGGAAATACCTTCTTTTTTAAAAAGTCTAAGATGAATACTGATTTGAAGGCCCAGTCTCAACTTAAAATCATGTCCCAGTTTGAATGTCTTTTAAGCTATTATTAAAAACAGTATCTTAACATCAGCAATACTGAATTATAAATGATTAGGCAAACAGGATTTTCCATATTAATTTGTTTCTTTTACAAAGTATCATTTTGGATCCTGGTTAATTTCCCCTGTTACTTTTAAGGGTTTTCATTATACAAAGAGGGAAAAAAGAGTTTAAGAAAATTGATTGCATGAAATATAAAGGAATATGCAATAGGCAGAAAATGAGAGAAGGGTACAATGGGCTGAAGGAATCATATTGCTCTTAAACAGATCTGTAAAGGGACCTGAGGTTTGCCTAATCATTCTGTACACCACTTCTCCCACAGCACATATATGTGTATCAGGGTGTGGTATACATGTTACATAAAGTACATACATACGGTGGTAGATGTAGTACCTATAGCTAAAACAAAACATCTGCAGTACCACACCACTATTATCATGTATCATGAAACAGCTAACATTTTCCTGGGAACATGAGACTGGAAAAGGAAGTCATATAAGATAAAAAAAGTTGGAAGAATACCAGCTCTTCATATTGGTATTCAGATCCTGGTGTTGCACATGCCTCTTCCCTGTGTAGCGCTACGCCTGTCAGCAGTATTGCTTGGGCAACCAGGGGCTGCTCCTTCTGAGCAGGGGCGGATTTGTCCCTTGGTGAGCTGTGAAATCGCTGGCTATGGAGGCATGGCACCAGGGCAGGATCTCATCCTGGGCCCCCGTGCCCACCTCCAATGGTGCACGTGCATGTAGCTTGGACGACGTGCACCTCTCACTCAGTGTGAAAGCATCTGGCTACCGTGTCTGTCCTGAAAGCCAGGGTGTGCTGACCTGGTGCTTTAAAACCTGCACAAAAAAAGGCATCCCTGGGACTGCCAGGGCAATTAGTCTGACCGTACCAGGGACATCCAGGTATTATGGGCATCTCACCAAAGCTACTTCTTGCACCCAGAAAAGATTTCTAGGTGAAAAACAACTCCAAACCAGTTAGCCTGAGGAAATTAGGGTTGAAGTGGCCCTTTGAGTCAGGTAAGATTGCTTTCTCTTTGTTTCTAAAAAAACTCATGGACCAAGTCCCTCAAACCACAAATACCTGCAGCTTTGTTTTGTAATAAAATGAACATTTTCAGTGGTGAGGCTAAGGGATGCTTTATAAAATGCACAGCATCAAAAGCCAGTCTTTCATTTCCATCAGCAAACATACCTTTCTTTTCAAGAACCACTAATTTTTTGGGGACTTCCCAAATGAAGCCCGAGCTTGGGTACCTTGCTAAACTGTACGTATCAGAAACAAATCTTTACTTGGCTGTGTTGTGAGCCAGGTTATGAACAAAGGGGCATATGAAGTATCTGACATTGTAATGGCTACACTTACACATATATACACATGTCTGTATATATATATATACAAACACACACATACGTTTCCCGAGAGCCAGTCCCACCTTGTGACTTGATAGAAAATGGTTGTGGTAATGTTCATTTACGGTTTCTCAGACTCTTTTAATATCAGGGGAGCAATCTGCAGAGAAAAAGGCAAGGTGTCTTGTCAGGTCACATCATTTCCCGAAGGATGGAGATATTGGAAGAAATGGCATCCTAGTTCCTGCTGTTTCTGAACCGCAGCATGCTGCTCGCAAGGAGCCCGGGGGAAGAACGGAGATGATGGCCAAAGAGGGAGGCAGCGGAGAGCCCTGTTCTGTAGGGAGAAGGCCAGAGGAGCCTGGCAGGGTGCTGGGGAGGCTGGCAGGTGGGCTGGGAAAGAGGAGGCAGACGCAGGCATCACCGCCACTGTTCCCCTCGCCCGAGCACTCGTATTTTTTCACCAAAAGACCAATTTTTCGGTGTCACATGGCTTAGGTGAAACTTTCCTTGAAGTCCTCCAGTGAAGTCAGCCTGCGGCGCCAGAGCAAACGCGAGCTCAGAAGCCGCAGCACACAGAGAAAACCCACCCGGAGGGCACGTTTTCCCCCGAAAAGCCCTGAATTTTTGGCGGCCGGGAGAAAGGGGTGCCCAAGGCATGGGTGCGCGGGAAACGGGGCTGCAGATGTAGGCTGAGCTGAAGGATGGAGCGGGCGAGGAGGGAGAGGGAGGAAGCGCGACCCGAGGCGGAGGGGCCGCTCCGGGGGGGGCCCCGCCGTCGCCCCGCGCTGCCTCCTGGCTGTGGGCGGGGTGTCGCCGCCCTTGGGCCGCCGCCGGGGCGGGCCGGGCCGGGCCGGGGGGATGGCGGGGGAGGAGGAGGAGGAGGAGGAAGGGGGGAGCGGGGGTGTCATGCCGAGAGCGCGCGTCGCAGCCCGGCAGGCCGCGGCCCGACCCGCACCCCGGGGCGCAGCCCTCCGCCGCTCCCCCAGGCAAGCGGCCCCGCTCCCCGCCGGGCCCGGGGCACCCGCGCCACGGGCAGCAGCCAGCCGCGTCCCGAACGGGCGGAGGGAAGGGGGGAAGGAGAGCGGAGCCCTCTCCGCCGCTCAGAGGAAGGGGAGGGAAGGGGGAAAGTTTAGCGGAGGGTGTTTGAGTCGGGAGTTATCCCTAAAGAGCCTTTCCCCTGATCTGATCCAGAGGGCAGCGCTGGGAGGAGGGGGCGGCGACGACGAGCAGCCCTGCAACATCTGTAAAACTTGAAGGAGGCGGCGGAGAGGAGCGCGCGAGACGGAGAAAAGCGAGAGGGACAACTTTTCCGACACGTGAGTACCTCGGCGCGATGTGTTTGTTCCCCTCCTTCGGTGGCTGCGCCGAACCAAAACAATGCGGGGCGGCGGCAGGGCTGGAGGGGACGGGCGGCACGGGACGGGACGGAGGGGTCCCCCCTTCCCTCCCAAAACCATTTGGTACCAGGCGGTGGATTTGGGGATACTTTTTTTTTCTTTTGCTCCCTCTCTTCTTTTTCTTCTTTTTCTCCTCCCCCCCGCTCTTTTTGTTGAACCAAATCAGAAATGTCAGTCAGTGCGAGTGAGTCAGAAGGGATCAGATTACAAGATCACTGAAACTGATGTCGGACCCGCGCACACACACCCCCACACGGAGGCAGAGGCGCGGGCTGCTCCCCGCGGGAGGCGGGCAGGGATAAAACAACCACCAACAACACCCGCCGGCCCTCCTCTGCCGCCCCCCGTCCCGCCTGTGTCCCGTCCGTCCCCCTGCCCCGCGGGATGCCCGCCGGCCGCGGCGGGGGCCGGCCCCGCTAGCCGCGGCGGCGGGGGAGCGGCGCGGGGACGAGCGGGCGGCCCCGGCCCTCGCCCATGGGCAGCGCGGGGGCTCGGCGGCAGCGGCGGCAGGTACGTACCCACTTGGGCGAGAAGTTCTTTGTTTCCCCGGTTCTACTCCGGGCCACTTTCTTGTCGTCTCCCAGCGCTCCGGCCCCGCTCTCGGCCCCCTTCCCGCTTCCCTAACTTGGAGGCGGGGGGCCGGGGGGACCGAGGTGTCTAACCCCCAAAATGGCTGTCACGGAGCGCGGGAGCCGAGGCGCGGGGTGCGGGGCCAGGCGGGGGCAGTCCCCGCTCCGGGCCGGGCCGGGCTCGGCCGGGCTCGTCCCGCGGCAGAGCTGCCGATGTGCGGGCGACAGCTGCTGTTTTATTTCCACCCCCTTCTTTCTCCTCGGCCCAACTCCCCGAGCGACTCCCGGGCGTTTTCACGCCCGTGTGGCGGGAGGCCGGCACAAACTTCGTAGGGGGAAAGGCGAGAGGAGCGGGAGAGAATCCGCTGTCACATCTGGCGGAGCGGAGGCGCGCCCGGGGGGGCCGTCGTTCCCTCCGGCTGCTCCCTGCGAGGAAGGGCACGGTCGGGTCCCGGTCGGGAGGGGGGCGCGGGGGTGCCGGCGCCTCTCGGAGCGGGGCAGCGCTCGGCCCGCTCCGCGCCGCCGCTGGCACCGGCTCGGGCGGGGGAGCGGGGCGGCGGGACGGGCCCGGCCGAGGCCGGGCGGGAGGAGCAGGGCGGCCGCCCCACGGGAGCTCTCGGAGCCGCCCCGGGCCGGCACCGCGGCCCGGCCGTGCACCGCCCAACTTTGGAGGGTGGGAGCAGCGCGTGTCCGCCGCGGTTCCGATTGTCCCGTGAAGTCGGTGGGGTGTTGGCACAATTGCCGCGCTTTCGGACGGGCCCGCAGCTGCTAGCGCCCGCTCCCCAAGCCGCGCACCACGTGAAGAGAAAAGGTAAAAGGAAACACACGCCCCCCGCTCCCCATCTCACTCCCCAGTTTTGTTTTTAACCCTCTGGTGTGTAGTTTTTATCTGGTCCTGCGGGTACGGTGTCCGTGGCCTTCTGCCAGTTTGTATGTAGATATATTTATGTAAAACATTTTCTCCCAGCTCCTTGCCAGCTGTTCCACATTTTCCAGCTGCCACTTCAGTTTGAAATGATGGACTGTACGGATCTCAAAGAGCCTTTTAGTCAGAGGTACGGATAGCTGTCCGTTTGATACACAGTGTCACGTTTTAGAGGCTGCTTCACTAAAGGAGCATTAAGTAGCAGCCCACTGCAAAATGCTCCTCTTCGTCGCGCCCCTGCTACTTCCCGCTTCATTTCCAAGGCTCAATAAACATGATTTCTTAAGCTTCAGCGTGCAGACTTCGTTTCTTTTGTGTGCGTGCTACGGAAAAACTTGGAAGCGAAATTTTCCAGAGGCCTTGAGATATGTGGCTGATTAAACCAACAAACATTTTTAGGCGGGCACGGCTGCCTCTCTGTCTCTCTCTCTGTGCTGTAGGTATCTGTTTTGAAATCGTTTTAAGTTGCTGGAATAGTGAGAAATCACTAGGTTTCTCTGTGTTCCAAAATTGTTTTTCATGTGTTCAACGAGATTATGGATAGAAATGTGCCAGAACTGGCCTTAAGTAGTTTGAATATTTGTGCAATTGCATTATAATTTGGAAAGGTGCCTCACTGATTGATTTCTATAATTATTTCATTTAGGTCCTTTATTAAAAATTAATAATGATCTGACAGTTTCTTAATTATATATGTCATGATTATTTTGAAGGAAGACAAATGCAGTGTTTTAAAAGTAAAGTAACCTTAAAATGTAAAAATTGCCATTCACACCACTGTATTTCAGTCGTGGAAATATATATTAAAAGTAATGGTGAATGAGTTTAGCAGTGTAAACTGTAGGCAGCCTCTTGAGAGTTTGTTTATATTATGAAGGTTTGGGTATAACTAGCTAGTATGTAAATACTTTCAGTTTTGTGTATAGCCCAATTCTAAGAGCATAAATAATAGTAACTATGAGAGAAGGCTATTTTAAGGACAGGGGATTATTTCTTTAAAAGCAGGATTATATGATTTTGAATGAGTAGGAAGAATGAGTAAGAAAAGGACTCTCTCAGTGTATGTGTATTCTTTTAAGCAGCAGTGGAAGCAAAACTATGGCTTAAGGTGCCCGAATGAATGCACTCTTGCCTTCTGATAATAGCATATGGTTTTCAGCAGGACATGCTGTTTTCCAAAGCTTTTCTGTAGAAGTACTGCAAAACAAAGACATCACCTGCATTTTCCTGCGTAAGTGGAGTAACATTTTTGTCTTGAGAAGGTGTACAGTGGCCAAGAAAGTGTTTTACTGCTGTACATAATCATCAGTTGTGAAAGATTGTTTGTTTTCAAATACCAGACCAGTCTGTAGCTAAGAAATAAAACTATCAATGGTTATAAATGTTTTTTGGTTTTTTTTTCTGAACGGTGTTGGAAAAACCAAAACGCTCAAGTTTGGAGACATTGTTATAGTTTGTTCATCTTGCAGATTACTTGACTTTTTAACAAGATAAATGTATGCACTGATACTGACCCATGAAAGTTTCAGTTACACTTCCTGCCTCGTTTTGGGGAAGGCTGATTAAATTACCTGCACTCCTGTAGTGTATTTGAATTTTATTCTGCATCTTAGAGAAAAGAATGGCATATTTTTATGTTGCAGAGTGTTAGTGAAAAGTTAGTCATCTTTGCCTGATAAATAAGGAATTTGAGGGCTATTAAAGCAGGGTTTATTTGGAGTTATGGAAGGAGGCATTTTAATGATCAGTGTTGCATGTGTTCAACTATATGGAGACAGAAATGTACAAAGAAAAAGCAGACTTGAAGGAAAAGTGAATCAACGAGTCATGAAATCCTCAGGAAAACCTTAGTAATGGAATGTTAATGCTTTTAGACTATAGTAGATTACCTTAAAAGTCAGGCTTTTCTTCTTTATGCAATTGCTGTAAATCCCTAGCTAAAGAATACTTTGAAGAAAGCTTTAGTTTTTCTGGCACTCAAATTCTGTAGTAATTCTGGCTGTTTTGGAAGATTCAAGATATTTTCTGCCAACTTGCAGTTAGGCAATTAAAATGCTAAAATGGCTACGGAGGAAGCTTCTTATTCAACAAAAGGTTCAGCTGTAATAATGATTTCAAGTTGTCTTTTAACCACAGGTTTTATAGACATCCTCCCTTTAGACTCTGTCATTTTTATAAGGGAATTGATTTGTTATACTTTAAAATCAAATAAAATGAGACAGAATAAACAAAAATAGGGCATGGGTGCTGCTGCAAACTTTTCAAGTTCTTTCAGTGCATTTTTCATCTTTACTTTTATTTGATAGGTCTGTGAAATAGAGCTGTAGACTGGCAGACTTTAAATGAAATTTCACACTTTGATGATTTTTTTTAAACTTTGATATATTGACAGCAAAAGGAGCTGCAAAGCTTTTATATAACTTGAGCAGTAACGCCAAGCAGCAGTCAAATGTCTCTATGCATTTGTGTTTAACTGCAGAAGAAAAACATGTCCATGGGCAGTAGAGGGTTCTTATCAACTCCCTAATCCCAGATCCCAGCAAACCTTGAGGGCATGCCTCAGATCTTGCTGAAATCATTGTAGACTCTCACAGTTTGCAGATTAAATATGCTATGTGTTCCTGGCTCCAACAACAGTTTTATGAGCTCACTAAGCTTCCTGTTTTAAGATCCTTTTCTGAAGTTTTTAGGAGCTGCTAAGGGCGATGCTGTCTATGGCAAGTGGTACTTGTTAATTTAGGGACACTTTAGGTATTTCATTCTGTCTGTAGAAAGAGCCAAAATTGCTATTTTCAAATTAGAAGTCGAGTTGCACCGAAAAAAAAAGGAGCTCCTTTAAAGAGGGATTCTGTTGTTTCAATGTGTTTGTCAGTACACAAGGTGACAAAGTTTATACGAGGCTTGATTTGTTTTATGGGGCTTGACTTTGACCGGGCTCTTTAAAAGGAGACTTTTTCAGTTGTAATTCTAAGCACAATGCAGCTTTTAGTACATAATTTCTGAGCCTCTTTTAACCAATTGTGTTTGTAGCAGCTCATTAAACATACCTTTGAAGTTCTTGTTCTCCTTTACATCTCAAAGAAGGGAAAATATATTCTGCCAAGAATGAATTTGAGTGAATCAGGTGGTTGACCCTGGGATTTGTTGACCCTTCTGAACGTATGGGATTGCCCCTCACATTCATAGTTTGGTCTTTTCTAGGTGCTAAATAGTTAACTCTTACATTTTATTCACTATAATCATGTTTATGTATTCGGTGTAATAGTTTTAATTAAAAAGGAAAATACTTATTGTCCAACAACATGTGTCATATTATTCCCGAGAGAACTTGAGCCAATTTTGTGCTTAAAGGTTATTCAGTGAATGAAATTTTGAAAGCCCATTTGTCAAGGTACTGCATGGTTTCTGTTGGTTTTCAACCCCCA